TTCGGAGTACCATCACGGTTCAGAGTCTTCCATATATATAAAGAAAAGCATTACCAAGTTCCTTCTTTAAGATATCTCATTGAATTAATTTAATAAAAGGTAATCAGCTTTAGCCTAAGAACTGTAAAAAAGTGGGTGACTTATGGTCAGAGATAGCGATTAGATAGTCATGTCTAATCTGAAATTATGTCTGTTGGTTTTTGTTAGTCGTTTGGGTTGCTTTCTCATTGACTTTAAAAACCTCAAATCTCTCTTTATTCATAATTATATTCTATTACAGAAATTAATATCAATGTTAAAAACGCGGTTTTCTGCTTCCGGAATGTGCTGACCTGTATCAGATATATATATATGTGTATATATGTCTCTGCCTGTATTCAACTCATTTGAACAAAACTAAAAAAATATTTAAAGAACTACACCTCCTGCCTAAAGAATATTAATGTTTAGCTTTTAAGGTCCACTAAACTCTTTCAGTGATCTCTTGGTAGTATGTTTGATCACTTACCAGTGAAACCATAATTTATTGTAAAATCTCCCCCCTTCCGGAGCACCTGAGATCACCCCCATTTTTTTGGTGGGGTTCGTGTTGCTTAGTCTTTAGTTTTCTATGTTGTGTCATCTGTACTTTTATTTGTCTGTTTGTCTTTTTATTTTTAGCCATGGCGTTGTCAGTTTGTTTTCGATCTATGAGTTTGACTGTCCCTCTGGTATCTTTAGTCCCTCTTTTAAGACAATAAATGGAAAAACAAATATGACCAACAGCAAACACTAACTACCAAGTAATAAAGGGCCACTTACTTGTGATAATAATATTCATAGTGTGCAGGGTTAACCATGTTTGTGAGTACTCAGCCCTCCCATAATCAGGAACAGTTTTGAAATAGCAAACAACATAAGAACAAATTGTAAAACTCAGAAGGAAAGGGTTCGACTCAAAAAGATCAGCATGGAGTATATAACCAATTAACAAAATGACATTGAGTTCTAATAGCTAGTTCAAAGCAAATTACACTACAGTTGATGTAATAGTTATACACCGAGGGATAGGTGTGTCTGGATAAGAAACCCCGTCGGCCGGAGGCCGGAGGGGTTTCTTATCCAGACACGCCGTATCCCGAGGTGTATAACTAACTTACACCCCATTCTAAACCCTATATTTGTTAACATTGATTATTAAAAGAAAAAAAAAATTGATAGCATATTTATTGACAATACCAAACCATGATTTATAAGATTATTTTTTTTATTACATAAAACCCCACTAGTAACCTTTCTTTGGTTATCTTCGTTCAAACTTTGACAAGTGAGTATATTTTACAAATGTCAAAGTTGTTTTGCATATTCCCGTTAAATCCATGTAGGAATATGGATCAACAGGTCAAGGTTGACTGTTTCGTGTATTCTTATTACAAACAAAAAATACATCATGCTCCTGGTATACAGTTGTCAATATGGACGGGTATAAGACGGACGACATTTTGTGGCAAGCGTTGGATTTGGTAGAAGAGACTAAAGATAAAGGCAATATTATAATCCAAAGTACTTACCTGTATCAGTTTAATAAAGGTAATCATAACTGTATTTTATATCTTACGATTTTATCAAAAACAAAAGCGCCCCTTCTCGAGAACAAACAAACATTCATATTCGAACATACTAAGGGATAGGTGTGTCTGCATTAAAAACCCGACTACCAGACACGCTCAACATACAATATTTAATATAGAGGAACTCCCTTTTTGGGGGCAATCGGGGGCTGATCCCGGGGGTTCTCAACTCTAATAGAAAAAGGGAGGTCCAACCATTCAAATGCATTGATCATTTAAATAAAAGTCGGGTCCAACCCGCGGAACCCCCAACCCCGGATCAGCCACTGGGTAACCCGGGGGGGGGGGTCCAGGAGTTAGAATCCCCATTGTTTTAAAAGATCAATACTTTAGAATAGAGACATATGACTGGGATAAAAAAAAATACCTTCAAGCAAAAGAGTATTTAAAGGATTATTTTTGTATTCCATATAGATGCTTATTGGAATTTCCTAAAATGTGTTTTTTTAATATCATGAAACAATTTGTAGTGAACACTATTAAAGTAATTTCTTATCATGTTCATGCTATTTAAAAAAATAATCAATTTCTATTGTTACGAATAACAATGGACTTTGTTTGCGGGATGTAGAAGCAGGGGTTTCCAGAAACCCCGCTCGTCACACCCTGTGGTCAAAATCTATTGTTATTCGTAACAATAGATCTATTCAATTTACACATGTTTCAGAAATAGAAACTATGAAGTATAACAATAGAACTGGGGTGTAAGAATAAATACTGTTGGCACCGACTTAAATATAAATCATTACACATCCGATTAGCAACCAATGGGAAGTGGATTCAGTGTTACAGCGCTGGTGTGTGAGTACTGAGATCGTCGCTAATTACACGAGTAGCTATTTGCTTCGAGGAGCCTGAAATTTTCATTTGTGAAAAAGTATTTAACATACAATCATTAAACACTTATCAATCTTATTTCTCTTTATGAACAAAATTGTTGGATTCTAAATCTTAACATGTTTGTTCAAGAAGGAAAATGAAAAAAAAATGTTTTATTATAAAGGACAAAACGTGTTTCGAGAACCCTCCGCCATCTAAAAATTAACTGTCTGGCAGCCTTTAACACAGGGGCAGAATTCTTTCAAATACCGAATAGGATTGTGACTAAGTTGTCTAATCTAACTCAGTACAGTTATCCATTTATAGGTTTCATACCAACACTGTGAAGGAGAATTAGATTCTTGGATTGTAAAATAGCAGAACACAATCTCGGTCTATATCTTTATTCAAATATACAAATTTTGAGACAGGAAAGTGATGCATTTGTAATATTATTCTTTTGAATTGAGATGATTATGTATTGTATTGTATTACTACAACTGTTTTAAAAAATACAGAACATTTTTTGTATAAATTTATTTTTTTCAACTTTGGCAAATAAGGGGAAGCAACTCATACAACCTTACTTTTACTACAAAATAATTACATGAATTACACCACTTTCCGCAACATATATTTTAGTATAGTTTTAGTATGTTGTTCATAGATAGTAACAGACTTGTTTTTCAGAGAAAAACTTTGTGTTGCAATTAGTTGCAGGTTGTTCACTAAATTGACTAGACTATTTTGGGTGTGTTTGTTGTTGATGATGTAATTATAATTGGTGGAGATCTTATTTTGGATGTGTTTGTTTGTTGTTGATGTAATTATAATTGGTGGAGATCTTGTTTTGGGTGTGTTTGTTGTTGATGATGTTATTATAATTGGTGGAGATCTTGTTTTGGATGTGTTTATACTTAGTGGGGATCTTGTAAGGAACAGTTCTGCCAAGTTTGGTTTAGTTTTGTTGAGTAGTTCACAATTTGAATATTTTATCCCAGATGAGCTTAAAAGCACTGAATTCATTTATATCTACTAGTATATACAGAAGACTGAAGAATATGTTATTAAAAAATTCCTTATATAATATCAATAAGGTCTCATAGTTGTATAAAGCAAGCAATACTTATTTGTTGACTATGAAACCATGCTATCCTTCCATCTTTGTTTTAAATTGTGTAGTAGCAGAGAAAAGCGAGATATAAAACATGGCCAACTACAAAATATATGTCCAAAGTTGTAAAAACCTCAGTCACTGGTACATGTATATGCATAGGTATAGTAACATAAATTTAAACATCATACAAAAAGAAACTTTCAACATGAAAAGTAGAAATCAATGTCTGTCTTGATATCCCTATATTTTACTGTATATTTTTGTGTTGAACTTATGAAGGTAAATATGCAATATAGCCCTAGATTATTCTGTTTAGATTTTACTTGAACATGTAAGATTAAGACAAAGTTACAGATAACATTGACTTGTTATTGGTTTTCACATGAAACATGTTCTAGTGGATCATCAGTCTTGATAAAACCAGTCCCCTTTTCCCGAATGTGACCTACTGAATTAGACTTGCAACTGGGTTTGTACTAACATGAGCAAAATGACGGGTGCAACATGGGGAGCAGGATCTGCTTACCCTTCCAGAGCACCTGAGATCACCCCCAGTTTTTGGTGGGGTTTGTGTTGCTCAGTTTTTAGTTTTCTATGTTGTGTTTTGTGTACTACTGTTTATCTGTTTGTCTTTTTCTTTTTTAGCCATGGCGTTTTCAGTTTATTTTTCGACTTATGAGTTGGAATGTCCCTCTGGTATCTTTAGCCTCTCTTTTATAGTAAAAGGAGTAGGTTTACGAAGGGTCCATCTTAGCTCTTAGATTCGCTCACATTTTAGTAATAAAAATAAAAAAGATGACAAAATATTTAGAAATATCTGACAAATACAAAATCAACAAGTCTGGACACACAATTGTAATGTCATAATGATGTCATAGTTCTGCACTTGTATGAAAAAATCCAATTGAACAATTTTTCGCCTTAGTTTTTGTAGTTTTTGCTCCATGTGACATTGTGCGCATGCAAGACCCACCATAGAGTTTGGTGAAGAATATGTATCTAAACAATTGCATCTTTTAATAGTGTTTTCTAGAAGAAAATATACCTAGCAAAAATATAAACATAGACAAATTGGCTAAAAATTTGTAAAATATCATACTTTTGAAAACAAACAACAGACAACAATTGTCTAGTTTATGCATATTTAAGTTTATAAATATTGGATTTTATATATGGTATTACTAATATAGAAATAATAAGATGTGATATGATTGCCAATGATACAACTCTGCACAAGAGACCAAATGACATATAAGTTAACAACTATAGTTCACAGTAAGGCTTTCAACAATGAGCAAAACCCAATACTGCATTGCTATAAAAGTTTGATTTTTATGGCCAATTTAAAGCCTTCATGTCATAATCCTTTTAAATTATACATTTTACAAAATACTTGTTGATCTACAACTATTTTTGAAATAAATAAAACAATTACAATTTCTGCTCTTTTACAGACAGCATGGGAACAACAGTGCAAGAATATTGGTACCCCATTGGGTAAATACTTCAGCACATGGAGGAAGCTACGAGACAGAGAATTGCAGTACCAGATTGCTGCTAAAGAACAGGTCTGCTAATGATATAAGTTTTTTTATAAGAAATTTAAAAGCAGTTTAATCAAAAGAGGTCTTTGGTTTTTTTCACCTGATAATGTTCCTTCATATTACAATCAACAGGGTCTTTTTAATTCTTTAATTTGGACTGTGGTCCTTGTACAGAATAGACCTTTTTTGTTTTTATGCTTTTAACAATTTATTTAATCAAAATTCCAGAACTATTACAAGCAACAAGATCTTTTTTTTAATTCGTAAATTTAGACTGTGGTCCTTGCATTGAAAAGTCCTTTTTGTCGAGCCTGCGACTTTTGTCGCAGAAAACTCGACATAGGAATAGTGATCCGGCGGCGGCGGTGGCTACGGCGGCAGCGTTAGCTAACTTCATAAAAGCTTTATATTTTCCAAGGTGGAAGACCTGGATGCTTCATACTTTGTATATATATGCCTCATGTTATGAAGTTTCCATCTGTCATATGTCCATGGTCCTTGACCTCATTTTCATGGTTCAGTGACTACTTGAAAAAAAAGTTAAGATTTTTTGTAATGTTAATTTCTCTCTTATTATGAGTAATAGGATAACTATATTAATATGTGCGTACCTTGCAATGCCTGTCAGACAGTTTTCATCTGACCTCGACCTCATTTCATGGATCAGTGAACAAGGTTAAGTTTTGGTGGTCAAGTCCATATATCAGATACTATAAGCAATAGGCCTTCTATATTTGGTGTATGGAATGATTGTAAGGTGTACATGTCCAACTGGCAGGTGTCATGTAACCTTGACCTCATTTTCATGGTTCAGTGGTTAAAGTTAAGTTTTTGTGTTTTGGTCTTTTTTTCTTATACTATATGCAATAGGTAACCTATATTTGGTGTATGGAAATATTTTACAATGAACATGTCAGGCAGGTTTTATCTGACCTTGACCTCATTTTCACGGTTCATTGCTCAGTGTTTAGTTTTTATACGACCGCAAAAAAATTTTTGTGGTCGTATATTGGTATGACGTTTGCGTCGTCATCGGCGTCGTCTCGTCGTCGTCGTTGTCTGGCTTCGTCGTCCGAAGACACATTAGTTTTCGCACTCTAACTTTAGTTTAAGTGAATGGATCTCAATGAAATTTTACAATAAGGTTCAATACCACAAAAGGAAGGTGGGGATTGATTTTGGGGGTTATGGTACCAACAGTTAAGGAATTAGGGGCCAAAAATAAGCATTTTTGTAACTTCCAGACATAACTAGTGTGTTAGTGTATGGATCTCTCTGACATTGTACCACAAGGTTCCATATCACAAAGGGAATGCTGGGATTGATTTTGGGGGTAATTGCCTCCAAATTTAAGGAATTAGGGGCCAAAAAGGGGCAAAAAAACAAGCATTTTTCTAGTTTCATGACAATAACTTGTGTGTAAGTGTATGGATCTTTATGAAATTGTACTACAAGGTTCCGTATCACAAAGGGAAAGCTGGAATTGAGTTTGGGGGTAATTGCCCAAAAAGTTTAGGAATAAGGGGCCAAAAAAGGGGCCAAAAATGAGCATTTTTCTAGTTTCCAGACAATAACTTGTGTTCAACTGTATGGATCTCTCTGAAATTGTACTACAAGGTACCATACCACAAAAGGGGAAGGCTGGGATTGATTTTGGGGGTAATTCCCTCAAAATTTTAGGAATTAAGGGCCATAAAAGGGCAAAAAAACAAGCATTTTTCTAGTTTCAGGACAATAACTTGTGTGTAAGTGTATGGATCTTTATGAAATTGTACTGCAAGGTTCCATATTACAAAGGGAAAGCTGGGTTTGAGTTTGGGGGTAATTGCCCTAAACATTTAGGAATTTGGGGCCAAAAAGGGGCCAAAAAACAAGCATTTTTCTAGTTTCCAGACAATAACTTGTGTTCAAGTGTATGGATCTCTCTGAAATTGTACTGCAAGGTACCATACCACAAAGGGAAGGCTGGGATTGAGTTTGAGGGTGATGAATCATAAGGGGGTTCATAAAATTTGGGGGGGGGGGATTTTTTTTTCCTTTTTTTTCTTTAAAATTTACCATTTTAAATTGGTTATTTCTGATTTATATATAAAAGCAAATAATAATGATATGGTTTGAATAGGTAAATTAAAATTTTTTAAGTTCTTAGACCACTTTCATTCTGTGTCAGAAACCTATGCTGTGTCAAATATTTAATTACAATCCAAATTCAGTGCTGTATCAAGCTTTAATGTTGTGTCCATACTTGCCCCAACTGTTCAGGTTTCGACCTCTGCGTATCAAGCTGCGCCCCAGCGGAGCATTTTATTGTGATTTGGTCTGTTTTTCTTAAACTATAACCAATAGGTCAACTATGTTTGTTGTATGGAATGATCGTAAGGTGTATATGTCTGTCTGGCAGGTATCATCTGACCTTGACCTCATTTTCATGGTTCATTGGTCAATGTTAAGATTTCCTGGTTTAGTTTGTTTCTTAGATACTATAAGCAATAGGTCAACTATATTTAATGCATAGATTGATTGTGAGGTGTACATGTTTGTCTGGCATGGTTCATCTGACCTTGACCTTATTTTCATGGTTCATTGGTCAATGTTTAGTTTTCCTGTTCAAATCTGTTTCTTAGAAACTATAAGCAATAGGTCAACTATATTTGGTGTATTGAATAATTGTAAGGTGTACATGTATTTCGAGTTTGGTTTATCTGACCTTGACCTCGTTTTCTTGGATCATGTTAAGTTTATGTGATACTTTTAGTAAAGCTTTATATTAGGGACTATCAACATAAAATCAATGGTCAGTAAAGAAGGTGAGACATTTCAGCGTGTGCACTCTTATTTATTTTATGCTTTAAACAGTTTTATTTATTCAAATTCCAGAACTTTTGATGATGGAAGTTGTATTGATTCGCATAAATTAGAGAATACTGCAGAAGTTTCAAAAACTACAGTTCCTAATATTTTATGATCTGCAACATGATACTTGTTTCAAACAAATAGTAAAAATCAAATATACAATTATAAACTACTATTGCATGTTTTATTTTGACTAACTCCTAAGACTGTGTGTATGCTCTAAGTGGTTTTATTCCACTGTATGTAAATATTAATAGAGAAATCAACATTTCATTGGTTGAAAATATCCCATGTGACATTGAACAAAACTTCATATTCCCCTCTGAATATTAGGGCCTTGTAAGACGTTACAAGAGAGAAATGTACATTACTGTTCTGAATGTGTTTTTTGAATAGCAAAAGTATAGTAATCATCATGTTCAAAATTATTTCAGACGTAAAACAAAACAGAAAAACACTTGTCATAGAATAGATAATTAACTTTTGATGTCAACAATGTTTATATTTAGTTTTAAAGTAAAGCGGATAAGGAAAAATGTTGATTAATATGTTATGGTCAGGAAGCAAAAGGTATAGGCAGTGGAATAAAACATTCATTTCTTGAGCTATAAAGATTTTCCCCCTTGAAAATCTCCCTTTCACCCTCAGGGAAATAATATATAATATTCAACTCAAAAAATTGAAAGTGACAGAAAATCTGCCAAAAATTATGTAATATGAGGACAAATACCTCAATAGCAGTAAGAAAATCAATAAATAAAAAGAAAATATAAGTGTACTAGTGAATCTAAGTTCTTTACTTTCATTTAACGAAATTCTCACTTGGGCATTTGTTCACTGAAGCTGCCATGTTGTAAAGCATATTGTTTCCATCAAATTTGTATATTTGATTATTAAAGAAATATCTTGAAATAAAACTGACTTTGTTCTCTTTCACAGGTTACACGTGCCTCATATTATCAATACAGCAAGTGTAGAAATTCAAAATAAACAATACAGTTATTATATTTTAGGGACTCTCTAAGGCTGAAGCAAATATACCAATCATAGAAAGACCCAAAGGAGTTCAGAAGGCCACAGCTGCAGAAAAGGAAGAGTTCTCTGCCTTGTTTGAATCTGACAGTGATGATTCAGACGATGATACAACCAGGTTAAATATTTTACATAGTTTCCATTTTTAAGGGTCTGTCTTGCCTCCTAATACATAGCCATCTATCTTGTGTGATTTTGAATTTAACTGTTCTCTTATCTTGTGTGATTTTGGATTTAACTGTACTCTTACATTTGATACTTTTACAATTCTATATATGGTTTGAGCACTTCTGATTAGAAAAAAAGGCGAAAGATATCAAAAAGAAATTCAAACTCATAAGTCAAAAACAAACTGACAATGTCATGGCAAAAACCAAAAAGTGACAAAAAGACAAACAAAAGACTGAGCAACATGAATCCCACCAAAAACTGAGGGTGATTTCATGTGTTCCAAAGGGAAAGCAAATCCTGCTCCACATATGGAATTATTAAAGTATTAAAATTTACATCAAATTTACTTTTGTAGATCAACATTATATCTCAAGCAACTCAAACAATATGTACAATCACATTGATAATACATGGGTATTTATAAAGAGTTGACTGACATACAGTTAAGGTAGATAGGGTGTCTTCCTCCATCTTGGATTTTGAAATACCATAAACCAATCGGTCTAGATCTTTAAGAAAATGTGCAAATTTTGAGAGTAGTAGGTAATTCATGTGTAAGAATTTTCATTTCAATATAGAAAATGACATGTTTTATCATATTTATGGTTGTATTTTACAAAAAACAGAAAACGTTTGTTTAATTCAATTTTTTCCAACTTTGCCACATAAGGGGAGGCAACTCAAATGTAAGGGCAGATAATTCAGATAAAGTTATTTTTACAATAGAATGTGTTAGGAATTTACCTATTTTATTATGTAGCAAGAAAACGGGTCCGGCGACCCCATTTTTTCTTTTTCTTATCTGAAATCATAATATTTGAGCTATCTTCTCATATTTTATCTCAAAATTCTATGGTGTAGTTTTTCGTTTTATGGCAGAAAATTGGGTTTTCCATGCATAATCTATACAAAATCTGTCAATTTTGCACAACCTGTAGCGTGAAAATAAGCCCCGTGACCCATTCTTTTTATAATTTAAAAAAAAAACCATGATATAAAATACATTTGCAAATTATTAAACAATTCTATGGATTGTAATTTAGACACCCCATCTACCTTAAACGCTGACACAGTAGAATTTTGGACACTATTAAAGAATATTTGTTAAATGACTTGTTTAAACAAGACATGACCAAACATTAATTTGTAGACAATTGACTCATGTTGTATTATATTGCCAAACACCAAGTTACCAAAGATAACTGTGAACGTAGATTGCGTTGAAAATGTACCAAAAAGATTTACAAAAAATAAAAAATTAGAATTTTGATTTTTTTGTTCTTTTCTTCCAATTAAAAAGGATAAAATGCTCAATATAAAAAGGGGAGTTATATAATATGTTAAGTGAAATATTCATTCATTCATTTGATCAATAGATTGATATATTTTTAAAAAATTGGTTTGTATTCTTGAAGGTTCCTACCAAAAGCTGAAAGACCTGGAAAAGCAAAGGGAGACAATTCTGATGAGAATTACAGGTAAGACTTATGTTTTATAAGCAAGTTCGCAAATCATGGCACACATGTAACATAAGACAGCAGAAGATATGTTAAGGCTGCTAACATAATCAATTTTCACCAATACTGATTAACAGTTATAATTTCTGTTCAATGTTCAAATGTAAAGCACAAAATTCCATAATGTTTGGAGGCCAAATTTAGTTAAAAATATAATTTATGGATGGATAGCAAATACAATTTACAATTCACAAATGCACTTCACCTCTTTTAAACTCTAAATATTGTCAGTCAAAAGCTCGATAGAACTTTTATTTGTGTCTACTTGATTTGTACCATGTTGACTCTAACATAAATATAAAAAAGAAGATGTGGTATGATTGCCAATGAGACAACTCTCCACAAGAGACTAAAGCTTATTTATTTATTTAAAAAAATTAAATTTGTTATTATATTTCATTTATTACGATATTTGAAGAATGAACAAAATGCGAGATAAACAAAAATGGGAGATAAACTAATTGTATCAAAATGCAAGTTATTATTACTGCAATACTCACCTAATTAATCGTATTAATAAAAACTACCAATAATATCTGTTTGTACTGGACCAAGGGATATCTAACACGCAAGGACAGTTTTCACAATTTAATAAATGATGACCTTTTATGTAATAACAAATCAATATCTAAACAATGCCTTATACTAAAATAAATGTGATACAAATATTTAAAGCCAGATATTGAGTCAAAAATGAAATTAATTTCTCTGTACAATGTCAATGAAGAATTATATTTGATAAACCAGATAGTTTTAGTATGCTGTTGCATTAACATCTTTGCTCTTAAATTTTGAGTCCAATACTAACTGTAATGCCTCACTAACTTTAATTTTTTTTCACTTTCTTATAATGAGTTTTCTGATCATCTGCGTTTATAAAAAGATTTATGCTTGAAAATAGTTATTTCGTATCTGTTACTTTGGCAACGCTTCATTTTATGAAAAACAAGAATCTGTGTCCTCAGTAATGATTTTTTATTAGTTTTTGGAATTCTGCCATTGTACTTTGTTTACATTCCATTTGAGTATTATAAGGATAATATGGAAGTTTGGGAAAGGTAATAAAAAATGAACACTTGTTCTAGTTATTATTTTATTAATGATTTATGCAATTTGTTTGATATAGTGATTTTGATAGTGATGAACTTGATCAACTTGCAAAGTCTGCTAGTGAAGATGATGAGGATGACAGTGACAATGATGAAGATCAGGATGATGATGAAGATCAAGATGAGGATGGAGATGATGACGATGATATTGATGTAGACAGTGAAGATGAGGATGAAGACAGTGAAGATGAAGACATGTCAGATGATGTCGATGATAAAGAGGACATTGTTAAAGAGTTCACTATGTCAGATTCTGATTAAAATTTTAAACAGAATAATGTGTCATGTATATTGTTATAAGTTCAAAACAAGAGGAAACCCTCATGGCTTACACCTATCAGAGAATTAGCTGCTCCTTTGAAGCAATGGCACATCATATTTCCATGAAGATTATTAGGCCCTGCCCCCTCAGTGATGATCTATTGACTCTGAAACTTTTGCTGATTAATCTAGGATTAGGTCAGTTTAAGGGAAACAATTAGTGATATGTCAAGAATATTGATATGTATTTGCATTGGCACATCTTATTTCCATAGGGATTTTTTGGCTCCTCCCCCTCAGTCATGGTCTGTTGACTTAAATTGGTTTGCATAGTTTACATGTTTCAGTTTGTGGTTAGATCAGTTTAAGATAAACCACTATGTTAAAGCAATGATGTTTGGTATGCAATCGTATAAGCATTTGCATTTGCAAGTCTCATTTCCATGGATATTATATGGACTCATCCCATCACCATGGTTCATTGACTTAGAAACATTTTCATAGTTTAAAAGTTGAAGGTTGTGTTTAGTACAAAAAATAAGGAGATGTGATATGATTGCCAATGCAACAACTATCCAGCAAAGTTCAAATGAATGGATGTAAGCAATTGTACGGCCTTCAACAATGAGACACCACCGTATTGTCTGTTATAAAAGGCCACAATATGAAAAATATGAAAGAATTCAATTGAGAAAACTAACGGCCTAATTTGTATCAAAACAATTTGCGAAAAAACAAGTATGACAGACATGAACCAACGACAACCTCTGAACTATAGGCTTCTGGCTCAGGACAGGCACATTAGAATGTGGCGATGTTAAACATGTTTAAAGGCACCAAGACTCCCCCTAATCTTGGACAGTGGTGTAACAGTACAACATAAGAACAAACAAGGGGTGAACTCATCAGAGCGATACAAAGCAGATAAACATCTATCAAAAACCCAGACCAGACGTGGCAGTGTATTTATACATCCCTAAAATAAAAAAAGACACTATGTACAGATCTGAGAGTACTCGCAGTTACTGACAGCTAGTTCAAAGCCAATAAGAACTAATAAGAAAATCATATATCTAATGACTAAAATATCAATCAGTACACATACAACATCAAATGGATGTCATTAACAGTCAGAGAAAAACATGACCTTGTGCAATGCCAAAATATTGGTATCAACAGATTGTAGTACTGTCAATGTGAATATGTGTATAACAATAATATGTAGTATGGTTTTAGTTTACTGATAACAAAATCAATATTAATACCAATAAAAACAACATTCAAAGATTATACATAGATTACACTCATTGAAATCAAAAATGTTACTTCAGACACAGGCATAGCGAACGATTTGGGATATATAAACAACTTAAGACAGTGCCAAAGGAAAATTAACAATATGGAAAGAAAATCGTCCCTTTTGTCGTACATTTTTGTGATGAGTTTCTCGTGTAAAGGTTGGTTTAAAAGGAACAACTTATGAAAAGTAAATGCTATTTGGTATGCAGCCTTATAAGCAATAGCATTTTTTCATTTCCATGGAGGTTTTTTGGTTCTGCACCTTAAGTCATGGTTCATTGACTTTGAATGTTTTGCATATTTTACATGTTAGAATATTGCCTTTTTAAATTCAACATTTGCATTATTCTATCAAAATTACAAAAAGCGAGACATATCTCTGTGTCAACAGTTTATTTGTTATAGACAGTCTTTTAATGGAGTAACAATATCTGATCCAAATGGAATACAGATCAGCAAAAATAATTCTCTAAATTTGAATAACAAAATACACTCTCATAAAAAGTTGTGATAAATTCTATAAGGAATCAAAGCACAAAAAGAAGATGTATTTTTTGTTGTTGAGTTGCCGTACATCTCTAGTTACTTACCAAATACTTTTAAAAAAAAACCTTCACACATAAAAAGAAAATGAGTGATACACAATTATCTGAGCGGGTAAACATATCTTGATCTGATGTTTGTTCTTTTTCGTTAAAACAGGATGATTACCTGAAACAGAAAATATTTTAAACAGCAGAAAAATAGACAAAACAAACTTGAGTATGATAAATGAAGATATGGTTGTATATGTCAATGAGACAGCAATCCAACAATAAAAATAACCATATCCAGTTCAACAATAAACATGTTTCTATATAATATGCCAAACTCTTAATCATCCCAAGTTCGGAATATAATTAAAAAAGTTAAAGAAATGCAATTAATGATATTCTGTAAATAAGGAAAACTTTTAAGTAATGACACACAACAACTAACCACAAGATCCTGAATACGGACAGGCAAATGAAAATATGTCAGGGTTGAACTTGCGTTTTTTTTTAGTATTATTTAACATCCATCATTCATCGGTTGAAGAAAGTGTGATTACCAGATTGAGAGGAGATGACGTAATCGGTTAGCTGTAATGAATTCATGAAAATAGAATTGTTGACACTATTGTGATAATGCATCTTGTAGTCAGTCTGTGACATCCATTAATGCATGAAATTTAAAAAGGACGGCATATTTTCCTGTTTAGTAGATCTGTGCCTAAGTTCATAAAACTTTATTCAGTACTCGAAACACCAAATCCAGTATTTTGATTGGTTTTATTCTGAATAGGGGTACAATAATCGTACTCTCAATTTTTATGACCGCAAGGCCAGGGACCTCGGCCATAAAACTTTACTCAATACTTGGAGTACAAAATATGTGCTCGAAACACCAAATCCAATAATTTGATTGGTTGTATTCTGAATCTGAGTACAATAATCGTACTCTTAATTTTTATGACTACAAGGCCAGAAGTTCTTATTTTTGGTACTTCCAATGATCCAGGAACCATGACGCTCTTATATTCAATTATAGCATATAAGACTGTAATGGTTCAGAATGTATGTTGATTTTTGTCAGCACAAGAAAAGTTAAGGTAGTCATGGTAGTGCACAGACATGTAATGTCTGTCACTTTATTAGTATTGAAGACAAAAGAGTTACAAAGGCTTGAAAATTTAGAATTTATTATCGAATTCAATGGGAACAAGACTTAGTTATATCTGTAGTAAGAAGGTAATAAATTGTCACCACTTTTGAATTTGTTAATTACACTGGTGCATGTTTTCATTGGTCGGGAAATATTTAATGATTTACAGATGTGTTAAAAAGTAAACCTTTCATTTCTATCAGCATGATGATTCTGTCGCATAAAATATCTGATTCCACAGCTTTATTTGCATCAGGCAAACAATTAAATCACGTATGGATTATTAAAAAAATAAATTTATGAAAGACAGCAATCTTCAAATTCTGGTAAATCGTGACTAGCATAATCTAAATTAGTAATAGAACAAACATATTTACTTGAAATTATACTTTTCTGATCCATCGTACGCATGCAAGGTTTAAATTGTTGTCAAGGTAGCTTTGTCGTTTTTTTCTACTGCAAAAAAGTTTGCGGTCGTATATTGGTATCACGTCGTCGTCCGCGTCGTCCGAAGACATTTGGTTTTCGCACAATATCTTTAGTATAAGTAAATAGAAATCTATGAAATTTAAACACAAGGTTTATTACCACAAAAGGAAGGTTGGGATTGATTTTGGGGGTTATGGTCCCAACAGTTTAGGAATTAGGGGCCAAAAAGGGGCCCAAATAAGCATTTTTCTAGTTTCCAGACAATAACTTATGGAATGTTGTATGGATCTCTCTGAAATTATACCACAAGTTTCCATACCACAAAGGGATGGTAAAAATTGGCTTTGGGGGGTTATGGCCAAACCGTTTAGGAATTAGGGGCAAAAAAGGGGGGAAAACAAGGGTGTCCTGGTTAATGGACAATTACGTAAGTACAAAACATAATTTAAAAGCAGTGTAAGGGAAGTAATTCAAATACAACATTTTGAATAACCTCCCTTACACTGCTTTTAAATTATGTATAAAGAAATGTTGTATTGTCTTGAGGTGATTAGTTGTCAATTTGTTTTTAGAAGTCACTATTTTAAAAATGCTGATGAAGGTAATTTAATTTCAACCATGATTATGTATGTCATTTTCTATTTTAAGACTTTTATGATGTTTTCAAATGGGTTATTATGTTTGCAAACTCCATTGGAAATTTAAATTGAAATTATGACCATATCTTGAGGGAAAGAATTTTTTTGGAAAAAGGGGGGGGGGAGGTTAAAAAAAGTTAAGTGGGAGGGGACAATTTGTTCTCAAGATTTTAGAAATTAAAAAGAAAATTTCTTCAAATATTATTTTTTTTTTGCAAAAAAAAAGGGGGGGGGTCAATTCGCAACAGCATAGTGTATAGCACAAAAAAAATGAATATAAATTCAAATCACATAACCAATTCAAGTTCTTTGACTACAGTTATTCTGTGTCAGAAACCTATTATGTGTCAAATATTTAATTACAATTCAAATTCAGACCTGTAACAAGTGCGAATATTGTGTCCATTTTTGCCCCAACTGTTCAGGCCTAGGGTTGGACCTCTGCGGTCGTATCCAACTGCGCTCGGCGAAGCAATCTATTAATTATAAAAATAAAAAAAATATGGTATGATTGACAATGAGACAACTCTCCATAAGAGACCAAATGACATAAACATTTGTTAACTATAGCATTGGTTAGCATAATAATGGTCTTCCAATACTGTTTACCGGTTGTCACTTTCAGTTCAGCCAAATTCTCGTTTTATCCTTGAGTAGACATTTTTTGGCCTGTTTTTTTTCTTCAAATTTTTAACTTCCTTTGTTGTTTATATTTCTTTTCTGTGGATTTTTTTCTCGAACAAATACAAAAGTTTTGAAGTCTGTACAATTTTCTTCTTTTATGCCGCAAATTTAAATCAAACCAAACTTTATCATCATATCTGACTGTTTCTTCCTTTTGAAGGTAAACACCCACATGCTTGATTTATAAAGGTGTAAGTGAAATTTGTAGCAACAACATGAACATAATTTGCATTGAAATTAAATGTTACCAATTAGTATTTAATACTTTTTGCTGTATTCGGTCATAACCCCCCTGTTAAAATCTCACATAGATCTAAAATATGTTAGATTATTACTAAAACAGAAATTGATTTTGAAATTATTTCCAATCGTGATCACCTATACCTCTATCATAAGTGTTTTGTGTCTTTATCAACATATTGATCACTTGTACTTCTATCATTAGGTATTGTGTCTTTATCTCATACAGGTAATTAATATGTGACTAGGATAGGTTCAAGTGTTTGTGTGTCAAAATGAGTGGTATTGTCAATGATGTTTATCAAGTTTAAATTGCAAAAACAATGTGTAAATCTTGAAGTCGTACCTTATTTTTTGTTTGTTAATTCTGCAAGCACATTCTTTGTTATTCAAGGAAACCAAATAAGCATTTTCTCAAACAACCTAAAGTAGTCTTGTGATAAAGCAGTCCTAGTGCTGCCACGGAAGGTAAAGTGTCTGGTTGAGATCAAGTTTTTTTCGATACTGCTATTTCTAAAGTAAATAGTTTTATTCATGAAAGTTCATCTTATTCTTATCATATACAAAAAAGATGATGAGGCATGCTAGCAAATAAGACACTATTCAACCAGAAAGCAAATGACAATGAGGGTCGGTTGAAAACAAAACTTTACGACAAAAAGAGATGATTTCAGCTTCCCAATTGTGAACTTTCCATTTCTATGTAGCAACATTCCAGCAGCGCCTGCATACGGAGTATATATCTCCCAGTTGATACGATATTCCAGGGCTTGTATTTCCTATCATGATTTCCTTGATAGAGGGTTGCTGCTCACAAGGAAGCTATTAAATTAAGAGTTCCAAATGGTGAAGTTGAAATCATCCCTTCGTAAGTTTTACGGACGCCATCCCGAGTTGGTTGACCGTTATGGAATATCCATTTTGCAGATGATAGCGGATATGTTCCTAATGTCGTAACCACAACCCCGTCCCCTTTTCCCGAATGTGACCTACCGAATTAAACTTATTACCGGGTGTGTACTAACTTGAGCAACACAACGGGTGCCACATGTGGAGCAGGATCTGCTAACTCTTCCGGAGCACCTGAGATCACCTTCTACATTAATACATTTGCAAATATAGGCCATCGTACGGCATTCAACAATGAGCAAAACTTATGCTGCGTATCGATATTTCTCGTAGTTTTGTATTCAATTCACATCAAATACGCTCAATTCGCTTATGTTCCAAATCTTTTCAACGGGTCATGCAAAGATAATTTTAAAAGTACACAACTATGAGAACACCATGCGAATTTCAATTTTTTGGAACTGTTATTTTATACCCTTTAATAGATGTCTTTCTGTATGTGAATGTTCAGTGCATAAGCGACACATAGTTTCCTGGAATTTCACTAAAAATTCAACCGTTTACATTGTCCTTTCGAGTACAACATTTAAAATAATCGTGTTTTTCAAAATGGAATAAGAAAGAAGGCATTCTGGGTCACTTTAATGTAATTGGAGACTGTGTTCTGCTGCTGATAACTTTAAGAACTTTTTTAAACCGATTAATAATCCAAAAACACCAGCCTACATCTGTTTCCATATAAAAAATTGTTACTTTCCTTCTCAAAGGTCACGAAGGTCATTTCCGTTAACCAATACATCAATAAGTAATCACAATTAATACAACGGAATTACTTTAACTTGTTGCTAGAATATGAAAATGGGAAGAAGGGGTTTAATTTTTTCCAGAGGTTTTCCAAACATCTTATACAAGGTTGTAATGATGCTACATCTATACAAGCTGAATAGAAAATAACCTTGGGAAAGGTATCATTTGTTTGATTCATCCCTGTATTGACAGATTTTATACACTTCAATGAATGGACCATACTGCACAGTTTTCTGCATGCTTGTGCGTATATGTGATATCATTGATTGATTAAATCATCCAGTTCACTGATTGTTCAAAACTTACTTCAGAGTTCCAATTAATATCACCAGGGGTTCCATATTAAGAGTATATAACAGGTTTATTCATGAATGACTTTTTGTCACTATTAAAGTGATAGATGACATAAACCAAGGTTTCTATTTTATACCTGTCTGTGAAAAAGGATTACATCAGTGCCCAAGGTTGCCTTTTTATACATGTCTGTAAAGGAGGATTACATGTTTCCAAGGTTGTCCTTTTGTACCTATTCATAACATAGGAGGGACCAATGCAACATTAATTTTCTGTTTACCATATCAATTTACCTTATGATGTTTATAGTTATATATAGTTATTTTTGTGAATAAAATGTCACATATATCATTGTACATCTTAAGCATCATGTTACAATGTAGACCTAAATTAACATAAGTTGTATGAAGTTCAATAACCTACAACAGCCATCTTTGACGAGAAAGTCCGTGGAGAATTGTTTGCTACAAAGACCTTTATTCTGGACAACTTAGAGAACGACATATGAAGTGGTGTGTTATGGCTTTCTTTGCTGTGTTGTAGCATTTCTGTCTTATTGGATTTGGCTAATTTTTTTAGGTCATGTTTATCTTATAGCTCTTCCAACTGTATCGGATCTTAGACAGCCTTGACTTTCAGTGTTCCTGATGAAAGTAAATTCAGGAAAGCGCTTCGGACACATTGAATTATTGGTGTGTTGTTTTCAATTTTTATTGAAATTATCTGGCAACTTTTTTTATTAGCTTAATTTAAAAACAGTATCATAGAAACAGCTCTGGTCAGATTTTGAATAAAGAATCAGCGGAAATTATTTGATTATGTGTTTAATTTTTAAGGAAATGCCTTTCACTTTTATACTTTTGACAATTAAGGGTGCAATTTTCATTTTTTTTAAACTACTTTTATTGACACTCATGATTAATTGTATATAATGTGAATACAAAGTTACAATGATATTACAAATATCAAACACAGAATATAGATATAATATTACATACAGATAAAATACAAATTTGATTAACAACTGATCATGATTACTCCAATAGGTTTCACATAAAATAAACCATCAATGATTGACATTTTTCACACTGTGCCAAAGGTATTGTCTGTGAATTGTGTCTTCATTAAACATGAATGTAAAAATCATTTCATTGAGGATGTCCTTTACACAGATTATCAAGTTATTGAATAAAAATCATACTATACACTCTGATACCCAAGGGATCCGTTTTCTATGCACTTTGGTACCTTAGAGATCCTATTTGCTATACACTGACTGTATCCTAGGGATTTTATGTCTATACACTGACTGTACCCTAGGGATATTATGCTTATACACTGACTGTACCCTAGGGATCGAATTTCTATACATTTGGAACCTCAAATAGGGCTATAAAAAACAGAAGCTCTTTTCACAAAAATTCTTAAAAGTAAAATTGGTGTTAATTAAACTGCAGTTTCTTCACACCTCAAGTATTTTTTCTCCTTATATTTTTGTTAAGAGCCAATCCGCCAGAAAACCATGCAATATTCAGAAAATCGTCCAAATCGACAATCACAACTTGACAAATTTTTATACATCATCTTAATCCTTGACATAAAATAAAAGAATTTGACCACTTAATTTTTCCCAGAATCGTATCTATTTTTAGTAACAGCCTCATTTGCATAATTCTGTAAATTCATAATGAAGCCAAGGAAAAATCCAACTTTTTTATGCCTTTTAAGAATGACCCAGAAGCATATTAAATGGGGTAGTTGAGTTTTTAGAGTAATGTCAGCTGAAACTCATCCATTTTACTATCTTATGATCAATACAAATGAAAATTTAAACGATTTGGCACATTGCCAGGAGCAGGGACACAAAGGCGGGGTTTTTCATACATGAATTTACGTGGTTTTCATTCGCTTCTATCTTGCAAGACCCATTCGGGATTTGTTTGCAACTTAAATCGGTTTTAACTATGGGGTATGTTTTATATCAAAACAAAATATTAAGCTTGGCAAATGACTATTATATGTTAATTTATGCCTTGGAAGAATGGTGATTTTAGTCCCAAATTGACACATTTTGATTTTGATTTTAATTAAATTCTAAACACAATTGGTACTAAAATGGCTCATAAAATCATTCGAACAAGTAAAATCAATTTGTCTGAAAAATGAAATAAGACGTATTTGTACTGCAAGTCCAAAAATCAATAAATTATCTGAAACCAGGGAGTCCATCTTTTATGCTCTTCCATTGACTTATCTCCCTTGGGTAAGATCTCAAACATGTCAGCTCCCAGTGATGGTTTGGCAGACAAATGTTTACAGTGAAGTTTGTGACTTTAAAAATCTAGGATGAGCATGTGGGCTATCCCAGCCTTATACATCTACATATTACAAACTATTTAAGATATCTGAATGCACTAAAGACCAAAAAATGGCAAAATAGCATTTCCAAAAAAAATAATTACTGCCAAGAAATTTGACAATCATGACAATAATTTAGTGAATAAACATGATAAATATTGATTGGAAAAATAAGTCCATGAACAGCAAAAAGTGTTTTTAGATTTCAACGAGCAAAACAAAAGTATTCTAAATCATTCTTCGCAAAAAAAAAAAGTGAGCCAGTGGAACCACCTTGCTCGCACCAAAATTGAGATTGAGAGTGTCAAAACTGCTCTGGCGCACCATCAATAAATCAACGACACTCTCACTACCGTGGTATTGAAAACAGCATTGGTAACCAAACATATTCATACAGATACAGACTACCATTCATCTACATTTAGGAAGTATGAATAATACTGAAAACTATGGTGTAGAATTTCCAACAGGACTCCTTATTTTATATAAGACAAGGAGTGGTTTATTTTCCCATGGTTGTTACATCATCTTGTCTTCCAATATGCTCGAAGTACAGGGACTTTTATGGAATTCATTGACATGATAGTCAAGCAAGATGTCAACATCTCGTCCAACCCTCTTCCAGCAAAGCCAAAGCTGACCAAGGATCTTCACCCTTTCAAAACAGGCTGTATACAGGACGAGTTATTCCAGTAGGAACAGGTACAAATCTTACAATCAATTTTCATTTGTTCCATATAGTCAATCTGAAATTAGGGGACCAACAATTGATACATTAGCTAGATTAAAAAAAGGGGGGGGGGGGTGTTGAAGGGGCATGTGAATATTCTTTTACACCTGACATGTTTCTAAGACATCTTATTTATTTCCTATGGCAAAGTGCAAGCAAATAATATATATCCGTATATACATTGTTCTGTCTTGGGACCATTTGATTAAAAAAGCAAGGGGGATGGTTAGAATGGTCAAAATATTTATGTCCTTGTCAGCTTAGGACAGAATTTTAATTTTCAAGCTATTAACCAGGGTACAATATATATTTATTTTCTGCTTTAAAAAATCAATTTATAGACCAGAATCATGATAATAATCAAAATCTATTTCAACATATTCAACGTTTAGCAGGTCAGGTTTTTATTCTCTTCCCCTAAGTTATATTTTCAGTTCTTACTGGAAGTTGTTCAGCTCTTTGTCTACTAAAAAAGTTTTATCTCGTGGAAAAGCCTCCTACAAATACATGTTTTACATACAACAAACTGTACATGTAACACTAGACAACTTTATCCAGAGAATAATATTTTTTTAATGAACTAATACAGTCTTCACACTTAACTTTTCAACCTACAAGTCAGTAGGACTTGTGGTTCATAAATTTTTACAAGTCCCCAGAAAATTCTACAAGACCACACAAATTATTATCACCGCTGAGCAGCGCAAAGCGCTGCGAACCAGCTAGGAGGGTCTGGGGGCATGCCCCCCAAGAAAAATTTTGAAAAATTAGATGCAAAATCCTGCATTCTGAGAGCTTTGAGTGTCATGAAGATAAATTTAATAGGAATAACATTGACAATTGGAGAAAAAAGTAAAAAGTAGCTGTTATAATAATTTTGTTCTCTTAAAAATTTAGAAAGAAGGTGCCTTGTCTAGAATGCTGTAACATTTTTCAGCCTCTGATGATTCAGCTGCAGGCTTCTCATATTTAGAGCAATAAATTTGTGACTCTTATTCTTCTCGTGAATTTTAATAGTATCCAGTTTAAAGTTGTCACTACCTGGGGTCACAAACTGTGAATCCATTTTATGTTCTGTGCACCATGAACAGAACATTTTGTTTTTCAACTCATCATACATCAACCACGGCCTACCTTCTAACCAACTGGAAAGGAACTGATGCGACCGTGTAGCGTCGTACTTTCTCTTCCTTACATTTTCATCGGCGGGGGGCTAAAACTGCTTCCCCGGACGAGCTCCCCCAGTACATTGCCGAAGAAACATTTTTGTCAGGGGAATATAAGTTAGGGGGAAGGATACCAATGATCTGTCATTTAATACAATGTCTCGATCCAGTATTAATCGCAATACGTTTAATTCATGTGAAAAAGCGCAAAATAGAAACCGATTTATTGGTATCACTTATTACCAAAGACACAAAGAGCATACCAACTACTGAAAAATCTACAAGCCCAGTCGGACTTTTGAACAACAAATTTGACAAGTCTGCGGCCGATTTTACTGGCCAGGACCGTCGGACTTGTGGCTAAATTCGAAGACTGCAGTAATAGGCCATGGAGACTAAAAAAATCAAAAGCATTGCAAACTTTTGTAAGGTTCAATTTTAGGACCCTACATGTACATGTATGTAGATTACTTATAGAGCCCTTTTTAAAAGAAAAAAACATACATTTAAACTACATGCACAGTGATGCTACACTACCCTACATTTCCTGTCTGATATATTTTATTTCATGTAAAACAAAATTGAAGAATTATTTTATAGTTTAACACTTTTTATTTGTAGGGCTATATATATGCAAGCAATGTTCAATTAAGATGAATTTTTGTAAAAGTGACAATAGCCAGGTCAAACTAAATACATGTATAGAAGAAGATATTGGTAAGTTATTATTAACTTATATATTAATTTAACTGTTTGTATAACATGGTAATCATACAAAGTATATGTAATCACTTATATAATAACATAATTATACCATTACATGTTATACATTTGTACATCAGTTTTATTAAACAGGTCTTTGTTAATTTTAATTTGTAGTACTATATTGGGCGGCTCCTATAGTTTCCATTCAATAACTAACAATGACTAATGAACTGTTCATACATTCCATTTCAATTATTTTATTTATTAATACATATTACTTTTACTGTTTGCGATTTTACGCCAGTACTTAAAACCTTCCATTCTTTATGGGTGGATTTTACATAGATATATAAAATCGCATAATATAAGCAAAATGAGGATGTTAAATTTGATGTATGCCTTTTGTGCTTCTTCGTTACATTTGTTTGTTTTATAGTGATTAAGATGATAACACAATGTTGACTGCTGTACCCCTATTTTTGACAATTTTACCTATTGTGTCTGTTTGTTTTGTCAATATAATGGAATTTGATGCGACTGTCATACAAGTGAGAGGTTTATTATCTAGCTATAAAACCAGGTTCAATCCACCATTTTCTACATAAGAAAATGCCTGTACCAAGTCAGGAATATGACAGTTGTTATCCATTCTTTTGATGTGTTTGAACTTTTGATTTTGCCATTTGATTGGGGACTTTCCTTTTTGAATTTTCCTCGGAGTTCAGTATTTTTGTGATTTTACTTTTTCAAATATAAAAGGGGGAGATTTTTATTGGAACTTTTGAAGATATTTCACCTGTTCGATTAATTGATTGGTTGTTGGTAATGCTAATGTCCAATGGCAAATAGTTCATGCATGTTTAGGACAAGAACAAATTAAAATAAATACATTATTTGGGTTCTTAATATGCTAAATCTAACAATGTATTTAAATAATTTAAGATGTTGCAATTGGGCCCCATTTTAAATTGGTTCACATTGATTTCAAAATGGTCCAAAATTTTTTTTCTTATTTCTACACAACTTGAATTCTTGAGGTTCTTTTGATATACAAAATGCAAATGTTTTATATTTAGATTTTTAATTTTGGTCCGGTTTTCAAATTTGTCCACATTTTAAAGTCCAAAGGGTCCAAATTTTAACTTGGTTTAATTTTAACAAAACTTGAACTCTAATTACAATGAATTAGGGTTCTTTGAATGATAAATAGAAATAATTAAATATCCTGAATATAAATATGTACTTAGATTTATGATTTTGGTCCCAGTTTTCAAGTTGGTTCAAATGGGGTCCATAATTTAACTGTGTTTGATTTCAACAATAATTTTAAAGATGCTGATTCAGCCTGAATCTAACCTGTATTTAGTTTTTGGGCCCTATTATGAAATTGGTTTACATTGAGGTCCAAAGGGTCCAAAATTAAACTAAATTTTAAATCTTAATTTGATCTTGGGGTTCTCTGATATGCTGAATCTATTAAACTTTATCTTTATACCATATTTATTCTGTGTTAGAAACCTATTCTTTGTCAAATATTTAATCCCATTACAAATTTAGAGCTGTTATAGCTTGAATGTTCTGTCCAAACTTGCATTTTTTCTTCATCTTCCACAAAATTTGTCCTTTTCTGAGATAACTGGTGTTATCTTTTTAAATTAAACTTTAGTGAAAAGAAAAGCACAATATGTGGATATTATCTGATGTCAAACATTTTCAAGATGGCCACCAAGGATGGCACAAATTTCAACACTGGTTAATTTAATGAAAATTGTTAATTAGGGATAGTCGTGGTAGTTTGACTTGCTAAACAAAGTAAGGTTGTTTTTTCTTCCAAAATGGCAAACATTTTCAAGATGGCCTTATATGAAAATTGACATTAAAGAATTATAGCACTTTTGACATGCCAACAAAACAATGAAATTTTTTTTTAAAGATGGACACAGCAAATAAAGGGTAAAATTTTCAATTTTGTTGAGTTTGATTTAAAAGAATATTGATATTTAGCTGTACTTTGACACAGAGAACAGATATAAAGATGGCCACTATTTTAAAGATTGTCACTAAAAGCGGTCAAATTATCCCCATTGTCTGTTTTCAATGTAAAATTATATTGAGAGGTAATTTGACATGCCAAACCAAATGGAGGCAATTTTTATTGTTGTAAAGATGTTAAGGGCTATTTGGACATGCTTAAAAGGAGTGGATAATAACTATTCTGCAAAAATGATTTGGCTTTAGTTGGGAGAATTTTGTAACTGCATCCACTTACAGTAAATTAAAAGTTGTCAATTTTATTTCCTGTCAGTGGTATATATGAAATTAAAAAAAAATGTGGTATGATTGCCAATGAGAACAAATGACATAGAAGTAAAGCTATAGGTCTTCATACGCCATATGGCCTTCAACAATGAGCAAGACCTATACTGCATATATATTCAGCCATAAAAGGCCCCAAAATAAGAAAATGAAAAAATATGAAAACTAACAGCCTGATTTATGTATGTATGTTTTGTGGTTTTCAGATCTAGACTCGCAGCTAACCTTTCTGTCAGTGTCAACAACAACTGAACTTTCACAGCCGTCAACATCAGATTGGGAGACTGATAATGCTTCTAACAGAAACAATTTTAACCAACCAAACAAGCAACAGAAACTTTCCAACTTTAAAACATCAGTTAAATCTTCCATGGGATGATGTCTCAAAAAATAACAGTTCATCATTTATGGAGATTTTAATGTTATGGTTTTTCTTTTACAAGAAAGTTAATGTACACTTGTTTTATAGTAAAACCTATAGCCGTTCAAGTATAAAAAAACACAATCAACTTTATTGAAATTTGAAGATTCATATGACTTATTTTAATTCAAAAGGTAATGTGCACCTCATCCTTGAGCACAGGACAAAAACGCTGGTCCGTTTAAATACATAGTTTCGTATTAATTTGTGTTAGTAAGACATTCTGATGCTTTTTACATAACAAAAGCAGTAAATAATTTTGAAGAATGCGAAATCTGTTATCTCCGAGGATGTGATGTAGAGCATTATAGGTACAGTAATCTTAACAGCTATCCAATTTCATTCAAAATCCTTTATAAATTTTGCACTGGTATATATAGACTAAGTAATTTGTTTTTCGTCTAGTTATGGGATTTTTTTATACCCCAAGCAACGAGTTGCGGAGGGTAAAATGTTTTTGACCAGTCCGTCCGTCCGTCTGTCGCTCCGTCAGTCCGTCAGTCCTGTTTCTTGTCATCGCAACTCCTCTCAAACCACACAACAGAATTTCACGAAACCTTTTTAGATAATAAGGACATACTATGTAGTTGTGCAACTAGACAGGAAATTACGATTCAATTCTTTTTCTAGGAGTTAAGCCCCTTTGAACTTATTTACTTTAATGTACTACTGCAACAGTTTGTCATTGCAACTCCTCTCAAACCACACAACAGAATTTCATGAAACCTTTTCAGATAATAAGGACATACTACGTAGATGTGCATATCGACAGGAAATTACGATTCAATTTTTTTTCAAGGAGTTACGCCCCTTTGAACTTATTTGCCCAATATACTACTGCAACTTTTTGTCATCGCAACTCCTCTCAAACCACACAACAGAATTTCATGAAACTGTGTAGATAATAAGGACATACTAGGTCGATGTGCATATTGACAGGAAATTATGATTCAATTTTTTTTTCTGATACAATTTTTTTTTCTTACACTTATTTTATTTCTCCAATGACAATGAGGGGACGTGGGGTATGTGAGCGCGCTCACTAAGGTTCTTTCATTTTAGAAGCATTAATGATTTTCATGTTTGTATTGACCACATTGCAGCAACATAGATATAGGTACCTGGCAAATCTTGCCTTGTTAGCATACTAGGCTCAAAGGGTCATAAAAAAATTTCCATCACTAAGTGTCTGTTAAAATCATCTGTTTACAGTTTTCACTTTTAAACCATCATCTTAATAACTTTAGAAGAAGTGTCATACATATATATATGTATACAAAATTTAAAAACTTTTCAATATATATATATATATATTGATAAAAACTATCAACATGACAAGATCTAAATACCCAAAATTTTTCTGAAAAATTGGACATCTATGAGCTATTGTCCCTGAAATGTGTAAATTTACAAATTTTCACAGTTTTCTGCTACTATCCGACATTTATATCAATATATTATAAGAATAAATTGCAAAAGTGGTCAGAAGAAACTTTTTTTTTACAGTCTGAACTTATTCTGAATTGTTTAACTTCTAATTTAAATTGATTGCGTTTGAAATATGTGTTTTTTATCGTTTTAGGTGCACAATTTGTCAATACGATCTATTTCGGCTCCTGGGAGCCTCTAGATTTATAATGAATAATTTGTATTTATGTATGATTGTTTTCTTAATGTATTAAATGAAACATTAATTATTCTTTTCCATTTGTTGTTATACTTATTTATAAGTCCAGATCCTATCATATGTCAGTAGTTACAAATTAGACGGCAAAATTGAGAAAATTTGAATATGCAGGTTACCCCATTTTGTTGTGGCATATACCAGACACCAACATTATTTGCCGAGCTTGATATTTTTTTTTATTGGGTATATATAGTTATACTTTGCAAGTAGATATGTTGTTTTACAATAATAAACGGGTCTTGGAGTATTTTGGCTCTGAAAGATGACCAAAATCAGCCATTTTGGACATGTAGCTAAATAAGACATATTGAAACAGTTAGATTATACATACGCTTAATAGACAGCATTGTTAATTCTATGCATTCTTACACTTAAAGTGATGTATTTCTAGGAACAACTATCAAAAAATTATAAATGTTACCATATTTTTTTATTTAAACCAGCGAAATATGCCAAAAAAGGCTTATTTTTGTCGAGCCTGCGACTTTTGTCGCAGAAAGCTCGACATAGGGATAGTGATCCGGCGGCGGCGGCGGCGGCGGCGGCGGCGTTAGCTAACTTCTTAAAAGCTTCATATTTTAGAGGGTGGAAGATCTGGATGCTTCATACTTTGTATATGGATGCCTCATGTTACGAAGTTTCCGTCAGTCACATGTCCAATGTCCTTGACCTCATTTTCATGGTTCAGTGACTACTTGAAAAAAAAGTTAAGATTTTTTGTAATGTTAAATTCTCTCTTATTATAAGTAGTAGGATAACTATATTTGGTATGTGCGTACCTTGCAAGGTCCTCATGCCCGTCAGACAGTCTTCACTTGACCTCGACCTCATTTCATGGATCAGTGAACAAGGTTAAGTTTTCGTGGTCAAGTCCATATCTCAGATACTATAAGCAATAGGTCTAGTATATTCGGTGTATGGAAGGACTGTAAGGTGTACATGTCCAACTGGCAGGTGTCATCTGACCTTGACCTCATTTTCATGGTTCAGTGGTTATAGTTAAGTTTTTGTGTTTTGGTCTGTTTTTCTTATACTGTATGCAATAGGTCTACTATATTTGGTGTATGGAATGATTGTAAGGTGTACATGTCTAGCTGGCAGGTGTCATCTGACCTTGACCTCATTTTCATGGTTCAGTGGTTATAGTTAAGTTTTTGTGTTTTGGTCTGTTTTTCTTATACTGTATGCAATAGGTCTACTATATTTGGTGTATGGAATGATTGTAAGGTGTACATGTCTAGCTGGCAGGTGTCATCTGACCTTGACCTCATTTTCATGGTTCAGTGGTCAAAGTTAAGTTTTTATACGACCGCAAAAATTGAAAATTTTTTGGTCGTATATTGGTATGACGTTGGCGTCGTCGTCGTCGTCGTCGTCGTCCGGCGTCGTCCGAAGACACATTAGTTTTCGCACTCTAACTTTAGTTTAAGTTAATGGATCTCCATGAAATTTTACCATAAGGTTCAATACCATGAAAGGAAGGTTGGGATTGATTTTGGGGGTTATGGTACCAACAGTTAAGGAATTAGGGGCCAAAAATAAGCATTTTTGTAACTTTCAGACAATAACTTGTGTGTAAGTGTATGGATCTCTCTGACATTGTACCACAAGGTTCCATATCACATAGGGAAGGCTGTAATTGATTTTGGGGGTAATTGCCTCAAAATTTTAAGATAAGGGGCCAAAAAAGGGGCAAAAAACAAGCATTTTTCTAGTTTCATGACAATAACTTGTGTGTAAGTGTTTGGATATTTCTGAAATTGTACTACAAGGTTCCATATCACAAAGGGAAAGCTGGAATTGAGTTTGGGGGTAATTGCCCGAAACGTTTAGGAATTGGGGGCCAAAAAGGGGCCAAAAACAAGCATTTTTCTAGTTTCCAGACAATAACTTGTGTTCAATTGTATGGATCTCTCTGAAATTGTACTGCAAGATACCATACCACAAAGGGAAGGCTGGGATTGAGTTTGGGGTGATGAATCATAAGGGGGTTCAAAAAATTTGGGGGGGGGGGGGGGGGGTTTCTTTTTTTTTTCTTTTTTTCCTTTTTTTTTTCTTTTAAAATTTTCCATTTTAAGTTGGTTATTTCTGATTTATATTTAAAAGCAAATAATAATGATATGGTAGGAAATACACACCAAACAGGATGTGTAAATTATTATACAATAAGTATTGTGCAATAGCAAGAAATTTTCAATTGCACAGTATTGCACAATAGCAAGAAATCTTCAATTGCACAGTATTGCGCAATAGCAAGAAATCTTCAATTGCACAGTATTGCGCAATAGCAAGAAATATCCAATAGCACAATATTGCGCAATAGCAAGAAATTGTCAATTGTACAGTATTGCGCAATAGCAAGAAATATTCAATTGCACAGTATTGTGCAAAAGAATATACTTTGTAAAAATTGCTTATTTCTTGATCAATTTCAATGGGGTTTTATTCTTGAATTCTTGGGGTTCTTTAATATGCTGAATCTAACCATGTATTCAGTTTTTGGATTTTGGGCCCTGTTTTTAAATTGGTCCACATTGAGGTCCAAAGGGTCCAAAATTTAACTTTGTTTGATTTCATCAAAAATTGAATTATTGGGGTTCTGTGATATGCCGAATCTAACCGTGTATTTAGATTCTTAATTTTTGGTTCCGTTTTCAAATTGGTCTACATAAAGGTCCAAAGGGTCCAAAATTAAACTTAGTTTGATTTCAACAAAAATTGAATATATGGGGTTCTTTGATATGCTGAATCTAACCATGTATTTAGATTTTTGATTATGGGCCCAGTTTTCAAGTTGGTCCAAATCGGGGTCCAAAATTAAACTTTATTTGATTTCAACAAAAATTGAATATATGGGGTTCTTTGATATGCTGAATCTAACCATGTATTTAGATTTTTGATTATGGGCCCAGTTTTTAAGTTGGTCCAAATCGGGGTCCAAAATTTAACTTTGTTTGATTTCAACAAAAATTGAATATATGGGGTTCTTTCATATGCTGAATATAACCGTGTATTAAGTTTTTGGATTTTGGGCCCCGTTTTTAAATTGGTCCACATTGAGGTCCAAAGGGTCCAAAATTTAACTTTGTTTGATTTCATCAAAAATTGAATTATTGGGGTTCTTTGATATGCCGAATCTAACCGTGTATTTAGATTCTTAATTTTTGGTTCCATTTTCAAATTGGTCTACATAAAGGTCCAAATGTCCAAAATTAAACTTAGTTTGATTTTAACAAAAATTGAATTTTTAGGGTTCTTTGATATGCTGAATCTAAACATGTGTTTAGATTTTTGATTATGGGCCCAGTTTTCAAGTTGGTCCAAATCGGGGTCCAAAATTAAACTTTATTTGATTTCAACAAAAATTGAATATATGGGGTTCTTTGATATGCTGAATCTAACCATGTATTTAGAT